ATTTTCTTCTTTTCTTTTGCGTATCTCAAAAAGTTAACAAGAAAATCGAAAGAACGCGTGTAACAACAAGCAATATTCAAGGGAGAACGAGTATTTCGAGCAAATCCAATGTGTCGGAAAAGATTCATCTTAGCGCTGATCACAATCAAGAGAGACTATCAAAACAGCTTAAGCGGAACAATAGGCACTGCTTTGCCGATCGCTGTTTATGACAAAGGGGGCATGGCGCATCCCTGTTCTATTGTTTCCCTAGACGTGCTGATGCTGCTAAGGTCCGCCCACCGAGTTTACCCATGCCAACGGCCCTTGACAACGAAGGCGGGGCATATACCAAGCCACCGCTGTCGATGTGTGCAGCATCAGAATAATCAGAAAAAACAAATTTTTTGTTCAAAATGTAAAAATTTTATTCTGTTAAACGTTAAATACACATTTAACCAATAATTAGACATAAAAAACCAAAAATGGCTATTTTTAGCTATATTTGGGTACATCCGCTCCTTAACTTTCGTAGCTATGTTATTTATACCTGCATTCACCCAATAAAGGGAAACAGAACGAAAAGTTTCAGTTATAAATGCGTAGAACTTGCCGGCGCACTAGGATACTTTTTAAGTACATCGATAGCTTATCCAAACAATGCATCATTTTTTGATTATCGTGAGCCAAAGCTTAGTAAGTTTACATATGAACAGATAATCGAACGCTTTGCCTGCAAATTTAGCATACGGAAATATAGCCGTCAGTCAACTGGTTTAAGGTGACGTTCGCAGTAGGCTAGGTATACAATAGGCTTTTATTTTCATTATTTAATGGAAAGAAGATATGACGTTTTGACAACGGTGAATAAAAGAGTTGGTTCTTTTGGCTGTTTTATAGACGAGGGGGGATAATTACTTCATTTATAACTGCCACCTCCAATCTACTGATGGATTGTTTGGGATACGGCAGAATAGATCGACTTCCAATGTATAGTAACTTACAAAGGAAAATACCATGCGTCCCTCAAGTCCGTAAGGCAAATTGTATCAGGGTATTTCCGAAAAACCAGCATTTAGACGATCCTCTAGTGAATGGCAACCTACGTTTTGCATTAAACATTTAACATATTGTTGATTAAATTAAGTACTTACTTCTGTCTGGGAATGTTTTGATACAATTACGCAGTTTGTCTCTGTTTGAGAAGATTCAAGAACAAAGTAAACATCTGAACTAAAAAAGGAACATTGATATTCTTTTAGGAATATCAATGTTCCTTTTTTAGTTTAGATGTTTAAAATAGGTATAATTATACCAAGGAAGTATATTGGTTTTAGGCCTACATACACGTACTATCTTTACATGTATAATGTAGTAAAGTTCTCGGGGTCATTGCTAAATTCATTCAATCAAAGTTTCAGCAAATGTTACATACTGTGAATGCAAACGGAAAGGTCAAAATCCCTCAGTACCCAACGCGTTCAGTTAAGCTCAAATTGAAGCTTATGTGTTTTGAACACAACCGCCCCCTCCTCCCGCGCCTTCATTTGTACGTACATGTCTTAAGGGCGTATAAAATCAAAACTACGAATTAGCCAGTGGCCATGATAGACGCTCATATTGGGGAAAACCCAAGCTTCAGCTAATTGGATCGCAATGCATGTACTTCAAACGAACCAAAATACAGCTTTCCTTTGCAATTTGACGTCTGAGCAAAATAGTTATTTGATTTGATTTTATTGACTACTCCCCTGCTGTGATGTATTCCCCGTGGAAATTGTGGTTGTTTTCAGAGGATCGTTTTCCTTTCCTCGAATTGACTTTGGGTTGTTCTTACATTGACAATCACAAACACAGTAAGATTATTTTCTGCATTTGCCTTCTTGAAAAGCTTGTGCTTGAAGAAGGGTTCCACTTTATACAGAGACTTTTAAATATGTCTTAATTATAAAAATATGACGATTAGGTATGTGATTTAACTCAAAAAGTTTACTCTTTGTGTAAAAAATCAAGCCTTTTTTTTGGGGGGGGGGCGCGGGGGGTAGAAATGCAATATTCTGTAAATTGCCTTTGTTAATGGGTTGTGCCTTATTGTAGTAAATGTCACAAGTGATAATCATTATCTTGTAATATGAAATGTGTTGCTGTACTCACAAAGTGGTCAGTAAAGTATAAGAAAAAAGGCAAAGGGCAGTTAAGGGTCAATCCATTGATAACTAACACATTTGGCAGCTAAATCAGAATTTTCCACCTCAAGTTAGTAGGAGTCGGGCGACAGTGTTGAACGATGTTTTTGCGATAGGAAAAGGCATCATTGTGCTTGTTTACCAGCATCAAAATGTTGACAAATAACAGATGAGTAGCCCAGCACCTGAAAGTGAAGCAAGATCAATTATAAAAGAAAATAGCATAGACTTCAATTCGATCAGTTGCCAGCGTTTTATTTTGAAGCTTAATATAGCGCGCTGTAATAGGATGAGATGCCACGTGACAGAGTGTCCGCGGGTGTGTGATTCGATTATCTTTTAAATTGGCAGGATAAGATTCTGGACAGAAACATAGAATTGATACCTGGATCTTGGATTAAGACGCTTGCAGTGAAGAGGAATTGATACCGTGCAGGCCTATGCCTTGTTACTGTCCCTTTTTGTGAATTTAATCAAGCCTGTATTATTTTTACCAATATCAGGTTTGAAGTATGCGCAAAATTATTTGTTTTCTAAAGGTCGGACACTGAAAATGAAATAAACTTTGTTTCGTGTTTCGCATACCGAACATATGGCTCGAAGGCATAAGTATCGGTACACAGGTACCAGATACATCGTTCATGTAGTACCATACCCTGAAGGCCAATCAGCCTGTTGTAATTTTCTTCTCTCAAAAGGAAATTTAATCGGTACATAATCGAGTTATATGAAAATGTTTGTCAGTTTGCACATTTATGGCGTTGTATTGGCATTTTTCTACCTTTGAATGAAATATATTGCCTATTTACGGTGAAGTGTTTGTCGAGTACCTCTCGTTTACTGACAGGTAAACGCTAGTATTTCCCTCTCCTTATAAAGGTTTATCGCTCCAATTCGGTATTCCAAATTTTGTCACGGGCCGAGTATCACAAATTATTATTCTTTATGTAATTGGACGACAATTTGAACACGTGGAATTAAAATAACCCAGAGGGGCTTCATTGATTCACTTGTACCGAAGATCTGTTCAAAGATAACAGTATTGAGCTCTACTGGGAGTCCTTTAGGACACGTATGTCATATGCTTTATTTATTTCACGCGTGTAAACAAATTATGAGCTGATTACATCATGTTGTGTACGCATCATTTTCTCTAATTAAAACATGTCGATTTCTTCAATTAAGAATGTGTGTGTTTCCTGGGAATGAAATGAGTGCAGTATCTTCGAGCGGGGTCCGATTTCTTACCGCACCCTGGTCACTGATTTTTGAGTGCGGACAAACACGATGTTAATAGAATAAGAGAATGATACTAATGTGACATAGGAATTATTGTAATAAGTGTCGACAAGAACACGCCCTTAACCTTGACACGGTGACAATAATTCTTGTTTTTGGGGGTACTTTTTAAAACATTCATTATTGATCAAATTAAATGCATTAATTTTTTTTATATTTTATATAGTCAGTGTTATCATTTGCACAATCAGATCATTCATGGGCAGGCGAGGACAGATCTTAGAACATTCGGTTTTCAACTTAAAAGATAAAACGCGTTGAAAGAGTAACTTTATTAAAATNTAAAGAAAATATAATAATAAGGAAGGCAACATTTAAAGGCAAAGAATACAAACTGGCAAAGGGAAATAAGCCATCAAAACGGTATTTGATTCTGTTTCCGGTAATTTCCTATAAAGACTAGTGTCAGGTTTTCATTTCCCATCCATTTAAAACTTTGTCACATAAAACGCCCTTTCTACGTCAATTTCCTTAACAGATTGTCGTCACAAAGAACCTCAAATTTTTAGATGTGGTATAAATTCACATACTGTTATAATTCTTACAAATGACCTAACACTGATGCAGAAAAATTCGTCACTTTCACTTTAAAATAACACTATACAATAGAGTGAATCAGAAAGCATAAAATATAGTGGAAGCAACGTCCCGTATAGGTAAACTGCAACAAATTTAAGACGAAAGATGCGACCAGAACTTAGTGCATCTTTATAGGCTCAATCACTTACAGCTAGTTCGTTTATTTACTCTGGTTAGTCAAGTAGCAAATGCCCGCGGCAGTGCAAGCCTTTTTTGATAGATTCTCGCATAGATCGAACTTAATGGGTCGATTGCGCGCGGTCGTGGGCGCAGTAAGTGATGAGCTTCTGGTCAGCAGTCAGCAGCGTCCGAATGGGGAGGGATCTTTAACAAAATCAATTACGACGGAAGGGGGAGATTGCTTCATTGGAAAGGATGTCTTTGGACGGGAGAAGATGTATAGATGATTTGACCGTTTCATGAGTGAACATTGTTCGTCTTGGTACACTCAATGTAGAAGGAAGTGAAGTATCGGAATACACTAGGTTCCTCAGGCGTATTTTTTGTCTGCAACTTAGATCGACAAATTATCACTTGGAAAGCATCATATATATTAATTTATAATAATTTAGGAGCACTTTATAGTTCCCTGCATTGAAATAAGGACTACTGAATTAGTTTGAACAGTCTACGTATGTTTAAAGTGAGGCTTAAACTAAGATATACATGGCCGTTTTGTTTCATATATGTGAATTGACATAATTGAATAATTCACCAAAAACATCCACAGGAGGCCGTTATGCAACCAGCAGCTAGAAATATCCATTGGTGAACGGCACAAGTATCAGAAGGCAACTCTCTGACTGGCAGTATATATTTACTCAGCGCCTGCCGCACGCGTGTCGGCACGATAGAACTTAGATTCGATAGAGAATTCCCTCCGACGGCACAGCAGTCTTGTTGCCGGAAGTTAAATTCGCGGGTGCGCAACTCCAAACCATTCCTCCACCTCGTCTCCTTAACAGCCCGTCTACCTGGACAGCGAACTCCTCACGCGACTGATTCAGTGACTGACTTCACGGCGGCTCCTCGACAATGTACAGCGGGAACATTTTACAAATATTAATGATATGCCTGTCAATATGGAGTTTCGTTCCTAGGGCTACGGGGGATGAAAAAACGTATGATAGTTCCACAACTGCCAGTTTACCATGGATTGAGACAAGGCAAGATTCTACCATGGAAATAACCAGTGCTGCCAGGTAAGGTGTGTTCGTTTTGCTTTGCATACCTATGGGAGATTTCTCTTTACCACAGGTGCGTGTGATATACTGGAAACTGTAGCTATTTTCTGGGTAACAATGCGTGCTCTTATTCACATTATTCCCTTTTCATTTGGAACATAATTAGTGTGATAATTCCGTAGTGTTAAGTGTCCTTAAAATGCTCAATCAAAGCAAACGCGGTATTCAGTACATTCAATTTCATACCTTTAATGGAATACCTACAATAAAAAGCGCTTTGAACCAATTTTGTGAGACAAATGAGGCACGACTAATAAAGGAAGTTTTTCATCCATGAAGCCTTTATCTTTGGTAGAACACTCGTTCGGTACAAAGAATCTTTAGAACCCACAGGAATATTAAGGCAATATGTCAAGCGCTAATATAATTAGCGCCATAAGAGAAATGGAAACGTCATGTCAAAACTAAAACAAACAGGAAATTGTGTGTATAAACTTTATTCGTTTTGTTGAATTGAAATTCATTATGACTATAATATAAAAGGTGAAATCAAAACCATGCCCATTTATAAATCGATGTCTCGATCGTTCTACTGCCGGGAAACTCCGTGTTAACATGTATTCCTTAATTAATGTAAAAACACCACAAAAGAAGAAGTCGGTAAAATTAGACTAAACTTTTGTTTTAAAAAGATATATTCCATATAACACTTCATTCGGTACATAGTGTAAGGTTTTCACAGGTCTAGGTTTTGGTGTGTTTTCCGTGCCATTAGCTAATGGCATTTTGTAACTGCTTTGCCTACAGAATAAATCAATATATAACTATATATATTTTTTTCGATGATTTCTTTTAAAATAGTTCTTTCCAAACGATTGCTGAGGTCATGCAATTTTACTTAAATATATATGGTCCAATGAGAAATTCTGACGTGCCAAGAACATGCACTTAATCAGTGAGCCATGCTACTGTACATTGTGAAGCGTTTTGTTATAATATTTGTTTAACACCTGACCCTACTTCAACAACAAAAAATTGGCCACCGTCTGGTAGAGATGGCTAAGATGATAACGAAACGAGAAAATGCTGGACAAACATTGACTTTCTGATTTTATCCAAATTTATGAAACACAGATGGATAACGCTGGTTAACATTTCCTTAACATTTACCGAAGAATGCAACAATTAACAATGCACATATGTCTTGAGTGTGGAGAAGAAATGATATATCTGTGAAAGAGTAGAGAAAGGAAGAGAAATTGTAATAATATGCGTTATTTGTAAAATTGACTAAGTCCACGCAGGGGTGTTAGTGTTCAATAATCACGCAGCAAACTAGATGTCTTGTTAAGTATATGTACTATGTATTAGCTATACGAGATTGCGGCGAACTATAGGTACAAAACGCCCCTTTAACTCTGGGATTAAGTCAAGTACATATTTTGCCGTTAAAGTGACCAATAGAGACGTGGATAGTAAGCAAATAATATAATTGTATATGATGATTTCGTGTGTTTGCATGTTTGCTTTTTTTCTATATAAGTACATAGCAAAGGACAAAAAGTCATAAAGTGTACAACAGTGGTTTCAACTGCCTTGCGGGATTCGGAATTTTGTTTTAAATCCGTGGTTAGTTTGGAGCCATTGAGGCGAATGATCTCATTGTCCCCTATGCATATGTTACATGTTATACAGCGATTGATTGAAGGGCTGTGACGTAACATAAGTATGTGACGTAACGTTGATGAAACTTGACGGGAAACTTAGGTTTATCATGGCTTACATGCACACAGTGTGTTGACACAAGTGTTTTATGTAGAATAAGAAAAGACACTGTGTTCTTTATCTGGGAGAGAGAGAGAGAAAGGGAGAGAGAGAGAGAGAGAGAGAAGGAGAGAGAGAGAGAGGGAAGGAGAGAGAGGGAAGGAGAGAGAGAGGGAAGGAGAGAGAGAGAGAGAAGGAGAGAGAGGGGGAGGGAGGGAGAGAGAGAGAGGGAAGATGTGGGAAGTCTTCATCGCGGGTGGTCAATAAAACAACAATTAAACTGACATGATATTCAGTTGTAATTGACAAGATATGCTTGAGTTAAAATATGCCTACCTTGGGAACCTCTTCGATTTGGTAAACAACACTATACATAATGTGAACTATTCCTACCCCCTACGGTAAAATAAACATGACTACACGTATATTCACCGCTGACCGACTTAAACATACCTTTTGTACAATTTGTGAAGACGCTTCGACGTCGAAAAATATTTTTTATTTACGTTACAGAAGCAACTGGACAATTATTAAAATCACAGCCATTCCTAACTGTGGTATTATAGTCTTATTATCAGTAAAAATTGCGTAATTAAATTTACTTAAGGTACGCTGACCTACTACAGAAGATTTGTTGAGTCGTATTCGGGGTCATTATCGTTTTCTTTTCATTTCGTTCATGAATATGACTGCATAGATGACGAGAGAGAGAGAGAGAGAGAGAGGGCGAAGAATGAAATTCAGTCACATTAAGATACTAGTACCATCTTCATCTCACTGAGCTTAAATTCAGTTTGACTGGGAAAAGATTCCTTTTTTACATTTGAAATAAAATCAAAGCAGCCCAGGTTTGGAATGCTCTTGTTCATCAGTTAAACGTAACGTGACATACCCCATGAAATATGCAGTAATGTACAGGAATTTAATCAAAATGCAACCGGAGCGAGATTCTTGATATGTCGTGACTGATTGTTGCCTGTCAATCAAAATAAATCAATATGCACCCCCCCCCCCCCCATTTCCCTCTTTAAAAAACGGAGAGGAGCACTCCGTTATTAGAATTTAGTGGCCACTTTGAGCCCAGGGCTGAAAACGCCCCCTAAAATAAAATAAAAATTCATTGAGTCTTAGACGTGGAAATACGCAACGGGTTAGTGACACGTTTTAAACTCAAAATACATTTACTTTAAAACCAGTCGAAACGGCGCTTACGTTTCATTACAGTTCTGGTGACTTCTCTTGTATTTTACCTCTGGAAACACGATACAGGGAAAGGCCCCAAAATTTGCTGAGCTCTAGAGTATTACAATCCGTAAAACTGGTGCTTGTTTCGGCGTACGTGAACCACCTGGCAGATTCCCATTCTCACATTTTTCCAGGAAATCGATCATGCAAGACAGTGTCTTGTTGTAACAGTAACACTGCTGTTGTATTCTGCAAATGAGAACCGGCATCTTCCCATATGCTGTTCCGTATTAAGATTAACGCCGTGCTAAATCTTGCTGTCTTGAACGGCTTGATACAGACGTCTGTAATCGAATTTTGTATTCAATCCTTACATTTCTATAGTTATAATATACCAGAAACCCAAAATAATCAGGTTTGAGTTTAAAAGTGAACATGATGGTTTTATGCTTTTGTTAAAACTGGACAAGAAAATTCCAAACTTCGATAACTCTATACTTGGAATTGTCTTTCACATGTCTTTTACTGTTTGTAAACATAGACAAATTGCATACTTCCGTAGATTCACTCTCGCAATGCTCTTTAAAATGTATAGAAAATATATATAGTATATAAAGCATCTATCTATCTATCTATCTATCTATCTATCTTATTTAAAATTCGTTACTTTCTCACGCATGTAATCATTTAAGGGTTGTTAATTTGCTCTTTTAAAGTTCAAAGTGGTGTGCTGATCAACTGAACGCCCCATTGTTCTCCGATGTAACACTATATTTGTTATTTTTGACTCTCTCTCGATGCAATGAAAGCCCAAATCTTCATTGAAAAGGCATATTTATTCTTGAATTTATAAAGTTACGATCTCACCTGACTGTGAGCGTTTGTTGCTGCTCAGGGGTCAAGTTTGGCATCCATAGGTCAACAGGCGTTGCGATTTTTATGATGAAAGTTCAGCTAATCGTTCGGGTTTCATTATCTGCATCACGCACGGGACAGACTAAATATGGTACTTCCTAATTATTTGACAAAGCTATACAAACAAGACACCCTACTCTAATTCATAAACATCGTGCTGGACCTACAGTAAGAGGGGAGCATAAACTCTTACACGGGGACCAAGTAGCCACTCGGGGTTCACATTTCATTCAAGCTAGTCCTTTGATATTCTGGGCCATATAAGAAAAAAATTTAAAGTAAGCATTGTTCGTGGCACGTATGAAACCGGTTCATCTTTAAAAAATTTGTCCTCAATCAGTAATCTTTTCGAATTTTTCTGCACTCATCGCCCTGCGACGGACCGCTATTTTCGGACGTCTACAAGGCAGTTACATTATTAACGAAGGTAATTGGTAAGCAGATCGATACGTTAATTGAGTGGTCCAATTCATGAAAATACGTAACCTCGCTTATTACTAATGGAACAGTAATGAAAAATTAAGATTCAAGCAGACAAATGAAGTTCGGGGAAAATGCTTCGCAAACCTAAGCTGCTAGTCCCCTCCGGTTAAAAGATTAACATGCCAGTAAGAAACTTGTGATCTAGTTAACAATGATCAATGATTAGGCAAGAATAATTGACTCTACTATTTACTCTTTTAATATGATCAAACGGTGAATCGCACAGCATCGGGATCAATAGAAAACACAAAATGCTGGGGAGAAAAGGTTAATATTATTATGACATAATACCAAGAATTGCAGCAGGGGCCGGCTTTATAATAATATAAAGCCATAATAGTCACCTTTATGCTTTAATCATCGCGGTTGTTCGTATATTTGTGCAGCTATTAAGTAATGGAGTAGCTTTATCCTCTTACCATTTACGGTAAAGCAGGCGAATTTTCTTTGTCGACTTGGAGCTAGTATTTAAATTGATTGGTATTGTGTGCCCTGAATGTGAAATGCTTAAAACATATTTGGATGGGATAACTAATTAAAAATAGAATTGCAATATTACATACTGAGACTCTCAATACTGAAAGGCGACAAACACTTTCGGTATAAAAATCGATTTGATGAATGCGAAAAAAGCTCTGTCTTTAGAATGAATGCTATTATGAGGTCAGAAATGGAGTTTAGAAAAGTATCGAAACTCGCAAGGTAAATATACTTGAATTTCTTGTCGCCAACATGTAGGCCAACCAATAAATACACAGAATATTAAATGTATCGTCCCTTATATTAAATGTTGAAGTAGCGCAGTTTTACCTATTAGCAGGCGTGACAGGACACATACTGGGTACACTTATATAGTAGCAAACATACCTTTAAAATGGCATGTAACAAACAATTTAAACCAGCTTGTACCAGCACTAATATTAAAAGTTTAGAAATGAAAAAAAAAAAACGCGTTGGCCAACGATTTTCAACCTGTACGAAACTTAACTTTCGTAGCTATGTTATTTATACCTGCATTCATCCAATAAAGGGAAACACAACAAAAAGTTTCAGTTATAAATGCGTAGAACTTGCCGGCGCACTAGGATACTTTTTAAGTACATCGATAGCTTATCCAAACAATGCATCATTTTTTGATTATCGTGAGCCAAAGCTTAGTAAGTTTACATATGAAAAGATAATCGAACACTTAGCCTGCAAATTTAGCATACGGAAATATAGCCGTCAGTCTACTGGTTTAAGGTGACGTTCGCAGTAGGCTAGGTATACAATAGGCTTTTATTTTCATTATTTAATGGAAAGAAGATATGACGTTTTGACAACGGTGAATAAAAGAGTTGGTTCTTTTGGCTGTTTTATAAACGAGAGGTGGATAATTACTTCATTTATAACTGCCACCTCCAATCTACTGATGGATTGTTTGGGATACGGCAGAATAGATCGACTTCCAATGTATAGTAACTTACAAAGGAAAATACCATGCGTCCCTCAAGTCCGTAAGGCAAATTGTATCAGGGTATTTCCGAAAAACCAGCTCTTTGACGATCCTCTAGTGAATGGCAACCTACGTTTTGCATTAAACATTTAACATATTGTTGATTAAATTAAGTACTTACTTCTGTCTGGGAATGTTTTGATACAATTACGCAGTTTGTCTCTGTTTGAGAAGATTCAAGAACAAAGTAAACATCTGAACTAAAAAAGGAACATTGATATTCTTTTAGGAATATCAATGTTCCTTTTTTAGTTTAGATGTTTAAAATAGGTATAATTATACCAAGGAAGTATATTGGTTTTAGGCCTACATACACGTACTATCTTTACATGTATAATGTAGTAAAGTTCTCGGGGTCATCGCTAAATTCATTCAATCAAAGTTTCAGCAAATGTTACATACTGTGAATGCAAACCGTAAAGGTCAAAATCCCTCAGTGCCCAACGCGTTCAGTTAAGCTCAACTGAAGCTTATGTGTTTTGAACACAACCTCCCCCTCCTCCCGCGCCTTCATTTGTACGTACATGTCTTAAGGGCGTATAAAATCAAAACTACGAATTAGCCAGTGGCCGCAATAGACACTCATATTGGGAAAACCCAAGCTTCAGCTAATTGGATCGCAATGCATGTACTTCAAACGAACCAAAATACAGCTTTCCTTTGCAATTTGACGTCTGAGCAAAATAGTTATTTGATTTGATTTTATTGACTACTCCCCTGCTGTGATGTATTCCCCGTGGAAATTGTGGTTGTTTTCAGAGGATCGTTTTCCTTTCCTCGAATTTACTTTGGGTTGTTCTTACATTGACAATCACAAACACAATACGATTATTTTCTGCATTTGCCTTCTTGAAAAGCTTGTGCTTGAAGAGGGGTTCCACTTTATACAGAGACTTTTAAATATGTCTTAATTATAAAAATATGACTATTAGGTATGTGATTTAACTCAAAAAGTTTACTCTCTGTGTTAAAAATCAAGCCATTTTTCGGGGGTGGGGGGGGGGGGTAGAAATGCAATATTCTGTAAATTGCCTTTGTTAATGCGCTGTGCCTTATTGTAGTAAATGTCACAAGTGATAATCATTATCTTGTAATATGAAATGTGTTGCTGTACTCACAAAGTGGTCAGTAAAGTATAAGAAAAAAGGCAAAGGGCAGTTAAGGGTCAATCCATTGATAACTAACACATTTGGCAGCTAAATCAGAATTTTCCACCTCAAGTTAGTAGGAGCAGGACGACAGTGTTGAACGATGTTTTTGCGATAGGAAAAGGCATCATCGTGCTTGTTTACCAGCATCAAAATGTTGACAAATACCAGGTGAGTCGCCCAGCACCTGAAAGTGAAGCAAGATCAATTATAAAAAATAGCATAGACTTCAATTCGATCAGTTGGCAGCGTTTTATTTTGAAGCTTAATATAGCGCGCTGTAATAGGATGAGATGCCACGTGACAGAGTGTCCGCGGGTGTGTGATTCGATTATCTTTTAAATTGGCAGGATAAGATTCTGGACAGAAACATAGAATTGATACCTGGATCTTGGATTAAGACGCTTGCAGTGAAGAGGAATTGATACCGTGCAGGCCTATGCCTTGTTACTGTCCCTTTTTGTGAATTTAATCAAGCCTGTATTATTTTTACCAATATCAGGTTTGAAGTATGCGCAAAATTATTTGTTTTCTAAAGGTCGGACACTGAAAATGAAATAAACTTTGTTTAGTGTTTCGCATACCGAACATATGACTCCAAGGCGTAAGTATCGGTACACAGGTACCAGATACATCGTTCATGTAGTACCATACCCTGAAGGTCAATCAGCCTGTTGTAATTTTTTCTCTCAAAAGGAAATTTAATCGGTACATAATCGAGTTATATGAAAATGTTTGTCAGTTTGCACATTTATGGCGTTGTATTGGCATTTTTCTACCTTTGAATGAAATATATTGCCTATTTACGGTGAAGTGTTTGTTGAGTGCCTCTCGTTTACTGACAGGTAAACGCTAGTATTTCCCTCTCCTTATAAAGAACCATCGCTCCAATTCGCCATTCCAAATTTTGTCACGGGCCACGTATCACAAATTATTATTATTCTTTATGTAACTGGACGACAATTTGAACACGTGGAATTAGAGTAACCGAGAGGGGCTTTATTGATTCACTTGTACCGAAGATCTGTTCAAAGATAACAGTATTGAGCTCCACTGGGAGTGCTTTGGGACACGTATGTCATATGCTTTATTTATTTCACGCGTGTAAACAAATTATGAGCTGATTACATCATGTTGTGTACGCATCATTTTCTCTAATTAAAACGTGTCGATTTCTTCAATTAAGAATGTATGTGTTTCATGGGAATGAAATGAGTGCAGTATCTTCGAGCTGCGTCCGATTTCTTACCGCACCCTGGTCACTGATATTTGAGTGCGGACAAACACGATGTTGATAGAATAAGAGAATGATACTAATGTGACATGGGAATTATTGTAATAAGTGTCGACAAGAACACGTCCTTAACCTTGACACGGGGACAAAAATTTTATAAGTAGTCAGTGTTATCATTTTTGCTCAATCAGAAAATTCATGAGCAGGCGAGGACAAATCTTAGAACATTCGATTTTCAACTTAAGAGATAAAACGCGATGAAAGAGTAACTTTTTATATTAATACTTTTTGTTTGTTTGTTTTTTTTCATACCAGTTCAACCACCCCACACCATCCCTCGTACACAGCCACGAATCCACCAAGAGAACAGATGCCGGAATACATATATGACATTGGAGACCCGACATCAGACGAGAACGTCACCTACATCTTGGATTCCCTCCTCAAGGGATACGACAAGAGGCTGAGGCCGAACTATAACGGTAAGCACTGGAAGGGAAGTCACCAAACTCAAAAGTTTGAAAGGATGAACGGAAAATGTAAAGTATGTTCATTCATGTATCTTTATCAGTAAAGTGACCCCCCTCCATGGGGAAGCTGCAGCGAGTTTATTCTGTTATCATCTCTAGTGTTATTTTGATGTTTATTGTTATCCTGATTTATTAAGGCATGTTACACGCACCTGTACCCACAAAGAGCTATCCCATCAATATCAGAATATATTTTTATCTTTTTAAATATATTGATTTCTTAAATCAATGAATCAAATTAGGGTTTATGGGTCTAAGGAACTTGTAGATGTGCGACTATTACGATTGAGCAGTAAAGGCGTTACATAATTTTTATTGATTTTGGTCGATGGTTCATCATTTTGTCTTTTAATCGTCAGAATCATTCGCACGAAAAAGGAGCGTCTTGGGCGGAGGGGGGGGGGGGGGGAGAGAGAGACCTGGTGTAGGCCTATCCTGTGCCGTTCGCCTATAGCCTGTTTGTTTGTTCAATTGTTCACATTTCATATTTCCTAAGTGGGTACATTTTTGTCTTTAATCTATCTAACAGAAGATTTATAAAGGCTATTCCTAGACATCATGCGACACTTTTACCGACCCGTGTCCTTCTGGGGTTTGTGCCCTGCGGATGATTTCCTTTGATATTGGTGAATGGTTTCCTTCCTTCCTGGGAGACAAGCGTACAGCAGTTAGTTTTCCTCTCGTCATTTAACCAGACATCGATGTGTTTTGTTTTTTTTTTTTTTTTTGCCCAAGTCTTGTATGCTTTATGGTACAAATGGCGTTAATTGTTATGTTTTCCTTGAACCTCGTGCGTATGCTTAACCTTTTATGCAATATGTTGATTGTGTAATTGAGCTGTATTGGTGATATGTTGTATTCATATAGTTTAACTTTTAACCTCTCCTTTGTGCTCTGCGACTGTTCCGGAAAAAATGGCTGAGCATGTGAATTGTGAAATTATTATTTTACAAACCGTATTCTAGGCACTGGTTCTCAAATACATTGATCTATATACTAGTATTTGTTCTAGATTCAAAAAGAAACCATCGATTTTTCACATTAAGTTTATTTTGATGATAAAGAAATCATTCGGTCGTTGATTTGTAGGTGTAGTTGTTTTGACCTTTTACTGACAAAAGGAGGAGAACAAATATCTTACTTCAACCTACAGCATCTGTGGACCTGGACTTATGCATTTTGTATGCAAGACCACAGACGAGTTCAATACCTATCCGAGGTTGTTTTACAATGGACCGAAATATCTTGCAATATAGTGTTTACTCACAATCAATACCAGAACATTGGGTCGTATTTTAAGCTGCCTCGACCAAAACCTGTTTCAATTCTCTGTACTGCAGGACATTATTAACCGCATCGGGTTATTAATTCATCTCTTCGTTTAACCAAGAGAATAGAACCGATTTTTAAGGGGATGCCAAATACCCAGAGGCAATAATGCTTCGTATTTTCTTAAAATAAATATTTGATGGTACTTCTCTATGTCCGTCGGTTGTAATATAAACAGGGCAACGAATTAGTTGTCAACTGATTTTTGACAGTTCCTCTTAGTCAAATAAAAGAAAACAATGCATTATATATCTGAGATGCTTTGAAGTGGAAAACTACTCATTTGAAGGCAGAATTGTTGCAGAAAGATAAGATCAATACGTGTTTTGCCAGTAGTGTAACACTGACAGCAGTGCTCAAAACCCTTTGTAAGGGTAGTGATTTATTCCTTTTGGCAAACGCCTTTAACAGAATTTAGGTGACTGTCTGAAATCATAGAAAAATATCCTGTGACTGGGAGTGATGCAAGGTTTATAATAATAATAATAATAATAATAATAATAATAATAATAATAATAATAAAAAGCAAAGAAATGAGGTATGCTGTGGGAAAAGTATGTACTCGTGGGATTTTAATAATTGACTCGTAGGGGACCACTGTATTTGGGCACATCTCACTGTCTGGGATTCTGCCAGGATGGCCGCCAGTGAAAAAAAAGATGGTTAACGTAGTCGCCACAGACAGCTGTTGCAATAACGCAGTCCACATTGGCAAGTCTGCTACCTCGGGACTGCGCTAACTTGGATTGACAGGCCGGAATGACCAATGAAATTAAATTTGGTTAATCACATTACACGCTGGATTTCAAAAATATCCTTAATTCAAAGAAACTACATGCACATTGCCGGCGTTATATAATTTCTTCCCAATGGGTAAGTTTGTCTATCAAATTGCCAAACGTTCGGATGGCGATGATGATTGACTTTCCTTGAAATGTATCATTTCTGTGATATTTTTTTCTTAACGGGGGTTGTTAGCTGCTTGGAGCTACTAACGGCGAAACTCAAATCTGTATAACCCTAAAAGGGAATGCTTCGAGTTTTTAACTTAATCCTCTACTTTTATCTTCCCCACTATCACTAGGAACTGTTTTCCAAAGTAGAACTCATGCACGCACACTACAAGAGAGAGAGAGAGAGAGAGAGAGAGAAATTACATTCATTCATAGAATATGGAAAGGGTCCAACGTATATATAGTATAGCGGCTCAACGTACAATGCTATTATCTAGCCTGTATGATCCTTGTAGCACCTGAACAGACTTTATCATTTCTATCAAATGTAATAATACATGTATATGAAAAACTTCCGTCCAACCAGTACTTTTTTGTTTAGCAAACGATATTGAATTTCCTAAATTGATATGATTGTTATTTCTGTTTGATGACAACGCCGTTATCATGTCTTTTCAGGCCCCCCAGTCGAGGTAGACGTTAACATGTTCATTTCTACTGTGAGCTCCGTGTCAGAGGCAGACATGGTAAGTGTGCAGTATAGGATATTATCGACAGGCATTTTGGGTATACCCAAAATGGGGATTCAAAAGTGTCTACATAATGTTTCTAGGTGGTCCATGTGTCATACTGACGATAAGTAGTGCTGTCACCTGGCGGTCATACACAGCGGCTTAGCCTAATAGGCCCCATTCTCATAGACACATCGGTCTACGTGGCTCGACCCAACTGTGCGGGGGTTCTCGCTTAGTGCAATCAGCTTAAAAGATTAACACTCCCATTTGCGTTAAGTAGAATGCAGAAAAGTCGATCATTATACTGTTAAGTTGGGAACAAGAAGAGGCGTTTTGTCATACAGTTGATTGCACTTAGCCAGAGTCCCAACAGGGTTGGGAATGGGGTCTTAGTGCAACTATGGTCGAACTGCCAGAAGACATTTCTAACTAAAATTCTTTTTGTTACTTTTCAAGGAAGTCTTTTTCACAGAGGATTACTACACATAAAGTGCAGAAACGCAATCTGACAGCCAAATACTAAAGATATAATGGCACATATCAATATAACTGATAGTTTGCATTGAATTTTATATAGTCTAGAATAGTCTATCCTACAGTTTTTGTTGTCTGACTGACGTCTGAACTAGTCATGGACATGAACTAGTTAAAAGAAATGCCTGTATTTAGCAATGATCTTATGCATTCTTAAAAATCATTACCGTTATACACTGTATTGCAGGAACTACAAGCCCCGACTTACGTTTCGCATTATCACGAAACTAGGTGAAAAAATTGCTGTTACCTAATAGCAAAAACTGCTATTCTACTATTTACAGATCACATGCCATGTTGCTTACATTAATCAACTTGTACAAAACATTATTTAGAGCAATAACACCATGAAACACACTGAGCTCAATCGATATCACCCTGGTTTACAAAAAGTAGGCATATTAGTATCAGTTCCAAAACTGACACTTGATTGATGTTTTACGAAATTAGTAAGTCCGATTCGGTCTCCACCATTGCCAACTGCACAGTTTAGTTGCCCGCCGGGCACTCGGTCTTACTTGGTACATGTAACGCTTCGGTTTGCACAGTCGATTCAGTTACTGGTTTAGCAACCATGATTGAATTGTCATATCTCCCATGGACAGACAGAATCGCTGGTTAGACATCTTCCGCCCTCTTGGAAACAACTGTTTGAATTTCATGCATGATCAAAACTATGGACTTGGTCCAATTTTCTTGGGAGAGGGGGAGGTGCGGTATAATGCATTTGGTTCAGAAACAGTACATTTTCTGTGCTGCTGTAGATTGAAAATTGGATACGAAAAAAGGGTGTAGCTTGCTTTAGTGGGTTCGATACGTTATAAAGGTCTACATTTGGCAAAATTTTTCCATATTTCTTATATGTAAAATACTTATCTCGAGATAAAAGAACAATAGCAATTAACCCTTTCAGAGCAAAAACCCCCTTTTTGTTGTTTCACTCACCACCTCATGCACTTCTGCGCATAGGGTGCCTTAACCGTCAGTTTTGCTGCTTTGTAAATTGGTGTGAGATAATGACCGGTTTCCGATGTAACTCAGTAGGCCTAACAATAAAATTCCCGGGTAGTAGTAACGTTATTGCTGTGATAAAATAGGCTTTAAAATAGTGTTGATAGCAGGTGAGTAAGATCTGTTTAAAATCAAAATTACAGCCCCCCCCAATAAAAAAAAAAAAAAAAAAAAAAAAATCCACTGTTACATGTACGTCATCAACTCGGTTTAGCAAATCCACCCCATGTATTTTTGATGCAACAGCATTATCTCATAACACACCAATGTTTATTTCCACATTATCTTATTATTATTAGCGGATAAGTAAAAAGACCTCGATACCCATTAAAAGATAAAACATTAATTGTGTCGAAGTCTCCGGTCAAGCGGAAAATACCTGTCGCTCATACGATTGCCGTTATTTGGACATTTTGGCGAGTGTGATGTGTTAAAAAATCGAAAATACAGTCTTTACCCAAAGATCTCTACTGTTACATTTATGTCACCATCTTGAGTGAGCAAATTCACCCCATGTATTTTTAAAGCAACAGCATTATCTCATAATATAATCATGTTTATTTCACATTATCTAAGCGGATTAGGTAAAAAAAAATCGACTTCCATTAAAAGATAAAGCATTTATTGTGTCAAAGCCTCCAGTCAAGAGGAAAATGCCTGTCGTTGATCCACTAATCGTTTTTAGAAATTTTTGTTAAGTGTAATAATTTAGACTGGATGTTGCGGCTCCAAGGTGGTTATAGCCGATTATGCTAATGTAACACACCAGCATGATAACCGTTTTTATTTCCACAATGACGAATCAAATCAACCCGTTCTCAATTTTGTCGTGGTCCTTATACAATACTTCACGTTTTATCCTTTTATTTTCTTAACGTCAGAGTTTGAAAGGAACAAAACTGAAACATTTTTTCTTGGCAGAGCGTGCTATTGGAACTTGGAAACAGTTGTTTCAAAAATCAATCCAAGCTTTTCAGTCTTCCTTTGAGATGCGGGACTCCCAGAAAATGAGTTTGTGCGATTCACTGGGTAATAACAAATGCAACTCGTTAAAGGCCGCATCGATCTCAAAGCAAAGTAGACGGGCACCTGTCAGAACCAAGCTAAGCCAGTGAACAAAAGTGATTTGCTGGATTTTCAGAGCAGATTATTGCAAATTTGTATCTGTTTACGAATTTTGTGTCAGGTTAGATAAATGATGAATAAGGTTTTATTTTCATTAGTGAGGAGTGTTGACTACTGCACGTGCATTTGTTGGACGGTTGTTGACTACAGTTCCATTTTCTTCTTATGACACCATCATGCAGGCAAAACCTTTATACTGGCTTACGTTTTTACAATAAAAGCTTAAGTGATTAGGGACATACTTTTTTACCCGACTTTGGCATATCTTTCAGCAGGAGGCATTTTTTGCATAGCTTTATGGCATTTTTATTTTTACTATATTGTGCAAGATATCTTTTTTTTCGTAACTTAAATATTTGTACAGTTTTCGCAATAGATGCTTATAATATCTGACACAAACTGCTTTCAACCTTACACCTGGCAGGGTCTTTAATAAATACCATGGCTTTTAGGAGAAAAACATTCCGGCATGATGTTATGATATTTCTCTACCATGTTATTATTATTATTTCATTTTTTGCGACTCTCTTGTGCCAAATATCTATTTCAGCAAAGTGAACTGGATACAAAATCCAATTTCAAAAATAAGAAAAGTATAGATCAAGTATAGATATAGATAAAGTATAGATCCATTGATCCATTGTTCTGGTGAAACTATTTGTTTTTTAGATTTACGGTCTTTTAACACTCTGCTTCAGGACTTCACGCTGGACTTTTATTTCCGCCAGTACTGGAAGGATCATCGCCTGAGTTTTAACAGCTCGTCAATGGAAGAAATCTCCTTACCGAACAACCTACTGAGCGAGATATGGGTACCAGACACGTTTTTCGTCAACGCCAAGAAATCAGTATTTCATTTTGCCACCGTGAAGAACGCTTTCTTGCGACTTACAAGACAGGGGGTTGTCTACTGTAGTTTTAGGTAAAGTTAATTTTGACTGCACATGTATTTACATGTAAATCCATCAAATGGCATAGGATTTGTGATTATTAGTATTAAAATATCCGGGAAAAATACCATAACACTGGCCTGTCTGCAGTAATAGCGGCAATGATAATAGTATCTTGTTAATTAATAGTAATTTGGTTTAGAAACTGCGTGTGTTCCGCATTGCGAAAGGCTAATGTTGTGCCTGTTAAAGATTACTTTTTTCCTATTTTACTTTGTACAGGTTAACTGTAACCGCATCTTGTCCCATGGACCTGACATACTTTCCAATGGACACCCAAATCTGTTCTCTGGAGATAGAAAGCTGTAAGTACCCTGTAGTTACGCCTTGCACCACTTTTGCAAAAAATCTTAAGTCGGGTTCCTTGGCTAACATCTTTGTTACCATCGTTACATGGACACATTCACACATGTAACCCTATCAGGCACAGTGTTACGGAACAGTCATGGATGCATGCACACACCCTAGTCAACTACGGATTAAAAATTCTTTGTGAAACGGGGGGACTGTACGCAACGGGGCACTATTTTCAAAATAATTTCATGGCATGTTAAATAGCCAAAAAATAGAGTTTATTTCGCAAACATATAACAACAGTAATACCCGCGGAATGAAATTATTTTAAAGCCTCAAAAGTTACATGTAATACTATGTTAAGTAAATAGTCATCGGCACAAGATATTCGCCAGATAATGCGCTAAATGCCATGTTGCCAGACGCAGTGTGTTACCTAACAGCAGCAGCGAGACATTTGAACCTAGATGACTTGACCTATCCCAATCTAAATATTTTGGCCCTAATGATGCTAATCACAGTTTGATACTGGCCAACTCTATCGATTTTGGAATGTGAGATTAATAATTAGGGTTGTGGAAAGTGAGGTGAAAATGTTGGAAATGGGTGAATGTCGACAGTAATGTATCACTAAAATACTGAATAAACGAACACGGTTACGTGTCTACCTTGACAAAATGGGATATATTAGTACAAGACATCTATAAAATGGACAACGCTATAATTAACGCTGTTTTTGTTTTAAGACGGCTACAAAAGTTCGGATATCAAGTACAGATGGTATAGTCCTGATGGAGATCCACTGGGGATATCCGAAGATGTGCAACTGCCGCAGTTTGTCATAAGGGGACACAGAGAAGTCGTCAAGATATTTCAGCTGAGCACAGGTAATTCAAAATCCATTTAGTATCCAGATACATGTGGGCCTTTCCTCAGGTGGAAGTGGAATTTAGATTATGCCTGGACCAGATTGAAGCTTAGTGTAAGACTGGGTTCCCATGCCTAGATCGATCTAACTGGGTCGACCCATCTCCAAGGGGTTTCCTGCTAAATTGCTTTTAGCTTAAACGGCTTATATGTCTGGCACGCCTACTGAAGCCGCTAAACGATATCTAATTGCCCTCTAACAGCTTCAGTGGGTGCGCGAGACATCTAAGCTGATAGCAATTTAGTGAGAACCCCCTTGGAGATGGATCGATCCAAAGTTAGTAGGATAGTCTCTGGGAATGATCTTTTAATTGTGTCAGGGAGAATAAGTCTTTAAAAAGTAAAAAAAAAAAAAAAAAGAAGTGACAAAAAGGAAAAAATGCAGAAGCCATTTCGTTATTAAATGTTTTGACCTCCTTATCGAAGGATACCACACCTTTAAACTTCAATAATGAATAAAATATTATAAAATAAATGAAAAAAGGTGCCTGCAACCGCTGTTGAACGTTTGTTTCTGGTATGATATATAACTTATTGATGAATCATCCTTTTCAGGCAATTACTCAAGATTGGCGTTGGATTTGTATCTGGACAGAAACATGGGCTACTACCTAACACACATCTACATTCCATCTATCTTAATAGTAGTGATTTCCTGGGTTTCCTTTTGGCTGCACGAGGATGCCGTTCCCGCCAGAATTGCCCTCGGTATCACCACAGTCCTCACCATGACAACGCTGATCTCAACAACCAATCAAGCGCTGCCAAAGATTTCCTACTTGAAAAGCATTGATGTCTACCTAGTCACATGCTTTGTGATGGTGTTTGCATCCCTTCTGGAGTACGCAGCGGTTAACTATCTTGGCAAGTTAGCAAAACATAAAACAAAGTTGCCTGAGATGCCCAATCAAAGTAAACAGAAGGGAACTTCTTCCTGCAAAAAAAGCCCCGACTTGAGGAACATCCGAGAGGGATTAAGGCCGTTTGCTGCGATGAGCATGGCATGGCCACCTGATCCAGAGAAGGGGCACCATCAAAATGCGGTAAGTAAATTTAAAACAGGGGGTGGGGCGTCAACTACGTGACATGTAATTTTTTCTACATGAACAACTTAAGAGCAGTATTTATTTAAAGATGTAAATCAAGTAGTGATCATTTGCTGCAAGGCAATTACCTTTTTGTTCCAGGAGGCCCGCATGAGCTCCATGGCAGAGCGCTACCGGACCCAGTACCATCCAATTCCAACACGTGACCCTGTCGCTAATGGTGACGTTAGTCAGGCTGAAGATTTGAAAGACAGTCGGCAGCGGGAACCAAGCCAACATCCGGGGCATGCAGGCTGGAAGTGCGGGTGCTGTACGCTTTCGGCGACAATATTAGACGATTACTCGAGATTTTTGTTTCCGCTGTCTTTCATAGTGTTTAACATATGCTACTGGACTATCTATTGGCACATCAGTAATCTGACAATGTCTTCAGATTTCACGCCTCTTTAATAATGACCCTGGATACAGCAATGCATTCCAATTAACAATTTAAAATTAAATACTGTAAATCTAAGAATGACTTTTTGTTGTTAAAGCAACAGTAGGTATGGCGTAGACAGGATAAAAAAGAATGAAAAAAATTACATAGTAAAGGGAAAAACTAATGCAAATTTCTTGTAACCGTCCATAAATGTTTGAGTAGTTGCTGAAGCGAATACAACAGTAGACCTTGGGTAGGTGGTCGTATTTGTAGAAGAGCGACCCAGTGGGAATTTATTTATGGACGGAGTTATAAAGTTAAAAAACTGGCACGGTTGGAATAATCTGTGATGTCGCTTTGAAGAAATAAGGAGTTGTGTTGAAGGCTGCGTGCAAGAAAGGTATGGCTGATAATCAAAATACTGTGAAGATGGGTATTTTTTTTCACGGAAAGATTCGAATTAGCTTAATGTGGTCACCATTTGCACTAATTGGTGTGTCAGACAAGATTTTCATTTATGCATGAAACATCGATTAACACAAACTCTATTTTTTTTTCTTAATTAACGAAAGACCTACAAGCTCATTCTGTGTACCGGTAGGAATTTCAATTAGTATAATCTCATCTTTATAAGCGTTTAAACGTTCACATCCAGTATATACATATAGCAGTATTCACAATGTGCAATCACATCGTTCGTTTTTAGATTTTAAAAAATTCACTCAACGATTCTCAGTACTTTTCTTCAAAAGTTGTCTCATAGTTACATTTACTTGATGTATTTACTGTTCGTGACATCATTATCACTGAAGTGTACCATAATCCGAGATAGGTGTGTTTTATCATATCATTCGTCATGCAGCGTTTATTGAATAAACAGTTTTACCATTATTAATTTAATTTTTTGAACGTTGTATCAAGTTTAAGGGGGGGGGGGGGATAGAAATCTACTTCGCATCCCTGAAATGCCAGCGTGTACATCAATGACAATATAAACTTATATTCATTTGTTAAATAAAGAAGGTAAGTCATGGGGGTATATATTTTAAATGGACAAAAAACCAAATGATGTTCTTGGTCTCCCTTTTTAAACCTAATCTCAACTACCGCATTTTGAGGAGCGACCGCGTACATATTCTTTGAGCGAAACGTTAAGGCATAGAACTGTGATCTCGCCCTCAGTACTGAAGTTGAAATTTTCAGTCTTGTTTTCTTTTTTTTTTTTAATACGCAAGAGGTGAAATCAAACGCACTCTTAACACATAAAGACGCAAACTCATTTTCAGAACCCACTACGGACGGGAAACACTTATGATTATGGAGTATTACGAAGCATTTATGCCTGTGCAGTATAAGCAAGAGCTGATGCTGGGTCCTAAAACATTTTTGCCTGATAAGTAAGATATCATGCTGGTGGTCATAAAATTTAATGTATTCTGTCCGGTTTTTCTCGCCGGATCTTATTTTTTCTCGAAAGAAAAACAAATTTTCCAGCACACAAAGTATTGCTCAGCCCGTTCTTGCGCTTGATTCAATGTTTTTTATAACAGTCCTAATTGAATAACTTAATTCTACACTATCAGTCATTTGGACCACCGTTTCTTGTACATTTCAGAATAAATAGAAATATTACTTTTATTTGAAAGGGGGGAGGGGGAGATGTGGTTTTAAGATCTGAATTGGGGGGGAATAGATAGTTACTTTGTATGTTAAGGCAACGAAAACGGGACTTCGAGGCATTTCAAATGCAGATAGCACACTTTTTAATCACGCTTTCTTTACAACTTTAAACGGACAAGCTCATCCCCGAGCATGGTTAAGGGCAACGTGGCAGCCTGGAATCATTATAACCCATCATAATCCGTCACACTTCCACAGCGCAGCATAAACCAACAATGACTGATTTCCATTTAAAGGCGGTTTATTTTGTTTGTATTTTTTACAGTATTTTCAATGTTCTTAGATAGTAATGTCCATTTTATTCTCCATCAACGTTTACTGTGGATAAACCTGAAAAGAAAAGGAAAAAATTTTAAGAATGAGGAATGAATATTTTTTCATACAAAGTGGTTCATTAAAAATTTAAAGACAAAGCTACCACAGTGCTACCATAAAATTTATTCTCATTTTCAAGCTATCATCTTTCCCACATTTCTGACAAGGCAAGGACAATCTCAAACGTCACTGGAAATTTTTCAATCAAACATATATACAACGGCCTTTTTATAAAACTTAACGTCATTTTTGTCATAAAATATTCCCCTTTCCAAGCTGCAGATATCAAAAGAAAAGAAAAAGCAACTTTATTTAAAACAATGCAGATTATCATTATATTTTTACTTCAAGCAGGAAATCTATGTTCTTAAAGAAAAAGATTTCTTTCAAGTTTCGATTCAAAATATAAATGTATTATTTTATATACACACCTTTGAAGCTAGCTACTGGTACATATGTAACCAGAGTGTAGAGCTTGTGTGGGGAATCTTCATCTTCATTTCTTTTCCTGGCCAATCGCACACGTACTCTGTAGGGGACATTTCTGGAACATAAAAATTACTCATCTAGTTTATTTCTATAATTTACAGTTCATAACCAACACCTGCGTGCATCAAAACATCACCTTCCCTAAAACCTTTAAGTAAATAATCCATGTGCTGCTTAAACTTTTCAACTGTCCGACTTAAATCATTAATTCAAGTTTAACGTCTTACTTCAAAATGTATGACCCAGATTTGGCCCGAAAACCACTCCTCCATCCATTTGAAAAAGGGATATTTTTATATAACTTCCAAGGCTGTAATTATTGTCTGTGCTATTAACAATGGTAAAATTTGGAAAAATTTTGCATCAACTGGCCATGGTTCTATTGTACTTTGTTATTTATCATATCACAGACAGTTACATTTTTTTTTTGTCAAATTATCAGAGCATGTCATGATGAAGTTTGATGAAGTCAGTCAAAAATTTGACAGGATAAAGAAAACGCAGTAACTGTCCGTGAAATAATACAATAACAACACACTGAACACAATATATTCATTACCAGACTAATGAATTTCATCAAGCTCTGTTTCTGCTTTAAGCCATTACATTCGTGGCCATGTACCAAAAGACAAAGTAAAAAAAAAAAAAAAAAAATTATAAAGAAATTATCACACTGAGATATTAACATGGCTGCATAAAACACAAAGCAGCTCACCTGACTCCTTTGGACCAGATGTGTTTGTTGAGTCTGGTGTCGATTCGGACATCTGGGGTGCCCATCATTTTTTCAGCAAACTTACGGATCTCCTTGACAGCACGTGGGGCTCTCCTCTTGAATCCACTGTGATATGAAAGAAAGCAATCAAGATTATGTAAAACTGGAGATCTACGATAAAGTGAAACTGAGCTACATGATGGCTTAGATCGATTACAGCATCAATTTATTCAGGTTGAAGGACAAATAATAATACCCTCTCCCATCTGTGTTTTAGTTTAATATATACAAATTCAATTATGACATATCATTTTCACTTCCATACACTGAAGCTGCATCTTCTGTATTTTTACCAACGAGATCTTGAAGCAGCATTCTATACATCCAATTCTTGCAGGAAATGGGCCATCAAACATCAAACATCAAATGCACAGCTTTAAAATTAAACCGTAACGGTAATCTCTTGTTTTCAAATTACAATTTTGGTTCTGATACAACAATGGACAAACACCAATCACTCACATGCCATGGATCCTTTTGTGGACATTGACTGTGTATTCACGAGTGACCACCTCACTTATGGCCGACTTCTTCTTCTTCTCGCCCTTCTTGGCGGGTGCCATCTGAAAGAACACAGTTTAACATCCATTAATACAGAATATGGGATGATGATAACAAGTTCCACACATTGTACCAAGTTGCTGCACTAGGATACAGTAGTGGTCCTTGTTAGCAAAAAGACAAGACAATAAATTTTTTAATCAACTTATCAAAATATTAAGAACAAGCTTTGTGCAAGACTGATAATATCCATTTTGATAAATTTCAGAAGGGGGCATTCAATCCACTGTGGGCATGTTGGGAAAGGGGGGTGGAGGTGGTTAGAGTCTATAAATCTTGATTAGAAGAACCCTGGCAGTGGGTAAGATAAATACATTTAGGAAAACCTGGATCTGGATTCAACATGATGGAGAAAAATAGGTGGCTTACGACAAACTTATGCACTCAGATGTGGAGCTAGCTCTTCTAGTGGAGCTAGCTCTTCTAGTCGGACAGGCCTATTTCACATGTGCTACATTACTTAACCAACATTGCAACTAATGATTCTGTCAAGGTTGCGTAGCTTTGAAAGATAAAAATAGGACTGGGACATTTCCATTCACAAGTAGTGGTTTCTTTAGACGTATATGGACAGATACAGATACAAAGGCAGGCAAGGCTGCACGGGACGTCTAATAAAGCTTTGAGCTTGCACTGGCATTAATCCTTCACTAAAAACTAAACAAAGATCCTTGTTGTTCAAAATATATAAATGTTAACAGAAACGATGAGTTATAGTGTATCATTCTGGGGTAAAATCAGGAAGTCTTCACGAAAGGATCTGCCACTAGAAAATACTCGTCCCTGAACGTAGTACCTCCAGATGGACGTAGCATCTTTTCATATGTCGTGGGGTGTAAATCTTTAAATAGCTAGTTCAAACGATACACATGTTATATAGCTTTAATCCAATCAATCATAAATGACTTTAAAACGTTCTGAAGGGGCCAGATGGCATCGGATTTTGAAGGCATGTTACCCAAGTGACTTACTTTTCAAGATGGAGGATGAAAGAGGAAGTATATGGAATTGTGGGTAAGAATGAAAAAGCGGAGCATCTAACACATCCAAAAGCTGGGGCTATTTGATCTCTACTAACACATTCAGGACAACGGGGAAATCCTCCACCTTACTAAGGCGATAAGAATTAGGTTAAACAATTGGATTAGAGACCTTAAAACCGCCGAAATTTAGGTATATAAGTGACTAAATAATTCAACGACATTAGGCAACATTCAGCCGGTATCACAAATTTGTTGTTCCTTATCTTGAGGATGTATTTGTTGTCGTTTTAACGTACGGGGATGTATCAGGCATATCTACATGTAGGCTACTGCTTTCATTGCATATATATATATGCATTCTGGTAAATGATACGTCTTAATGGACTACATACTTGAAAAAAAGTCAAAAAAATCACATGTAAGAGAGGCACAAGATAATCTAGGCCAAGATATCAGTTCTTCCTGTAATCTAAAGCTTGTATCCGAAAAAAAGGGGGGATGGATATCTGATAAAAAAGTAGCCTACTTACTAACTGCAAAAATTAGCCTGCATGTTGTCAAAGAACGTAAATCAAATTTTGATTCATAGTGGACCTTTTCCGAAAGACGGTTCGATCCACACACACCCCCTCCTCTGCAACCCGCACTCCCACCCCGAATCAGTGCTTAGCAGCTCACAGCAAAGACTAACAGAAAGGTGATTGATAACACATACTTTTAAAATTAGAAGTTAGCTATGCTATCTAGATTTAAAAATTGCACTGAACCATTAAATTGGAAATCACAAATAAAAAATTGATGGCTTAAATTGGAATTATTCACAGCATGTCCGAGCATGTCTCAGTTGCCTACACTATCAAGAAAACGTATAGAAAACTTCACGCTAAAATAATCAAAATATGATATGCACTGCAATTCAAGCGCGACCAAAGTAAACATTAACTGTTGCAAACTAACTCTCACAGATGATATACTGTATATTTTATTATACAAGTTGTAATCAAATATTTTTGACGAATCAGCCATATGAAAATATCAAGAATAGTGTTTCAAAATCCATGGCTCACTTTCTAATGAAATCAGTTCAAACACTTATATATCAAAATAATGCATGCTCAGAATTAAATGTTATGGAATATCTTTTTTGAGCACAAGTATTGTACACATGTTCATCTACCACTGTGTTGAAATTCGTCATAGAATAGAGGATATTTTAAATTGACTTTTAGAAACAGGTATGGCATTTGTTCACACATATAAAAGAAAATCCCTTACACATATCAAACTATGAAAAAATTACGAAAAAATGCAAAAAATAAATAAATAAATAAATAAATAAATAAATAAATAAATAAATAAATAAATCACATGAGTATCCGAATGTTTGTTGGTAATCCACAAAAAGGGAAATCTTTGGTATAACTGACTGATATATCAGTATAAACATGTGCGTTACAGGGAAAAAGATATATACACAAAAAATGGAATATATAATTCACTACCATTGTACAACGTAGCACCGAAGGATTTTTCCATTAATGGCAGCATCAATTTCGCGTGACTGATGGCTGTTTTGGCCTAAGCCTTAGAAGAAGAGCTCACAAGTTGGTAACCAAATGATCATGTTTCTAATATTCACATCAGGAGAAGCCACTTCAGTAAATATGTTTACTTTATCTTCATCCGAGAACGTCTCGCATGTGGGACTTTGTTCTGAACGTTGAGCTGACTAGAAAATTGTACCAAGTGTTCTTTTTTTGTCGAAGTATTTTAGTTTGTACGAAAATGAATTCCAATTCGAAGTGAAATTCTATATACGTTGCATCAAATCTCAAGAGGAAATAATCCAAATTATTAGATGACAGTTCCCTTTTATGAAAACTATCCCACTCCATTCTCATCCAATCCCCCGCCAGGGGGCGGTAAATCGAAGGAAGACGTCTCAGTGTCATGATCTATTGGTGGAAGGAGAATGTTATTTAGTCCTGAGAATTTCTCTGGTAAAGTTTCCATCCATTTTTGGCATTTTTCAACTGTCCATGAGTTTGGTGCATTGTCGTCTCCATTTTCCAAGTTTGGCCTTGCGCTTTGCGGCCTAGCAGACGACAGAGTTTCGGTATCTTCAGGTGCGTTTAACAGGTCGTTTTTCCCGTTTGCTTGATGCCTGTTGACTCCTGATCGCGGTGATAGTTTACCGTTAGCGTCTTTGGAGTCCCTCCGAGTATTCAGCGCCCTAACTGACAGTTTTATCGAGTCGCAATCTGCCTCTCGTCTTGGGAGCAAGCTATGGCCGTTTTCGTGAGCACTGTAGCGGCGCCTTCTCGTGGCCACAGAAACGTCCTCATAAGAACCCTTTCTAGGCATCCGAACATCCATTTCTGTCTGATTGCGCCTCAGTAACATTTGCTTCGATCGAGACACCTCAAGGTCACCTAAACTTGATTTTCTGGCATTACCAGAGTTTAGGCTGCAGATTCGCGTACTTTCCGTGCTGATAAGTTTTTTCTTCATATTCTGCGGCGTGCGACCGTTGTTCTCCATAATAACTGTTCTCTGTAGTGTTGGTGGAGGAAAACTCTCCGCTAAAGAGTACCGACTGAAGTCAGAGTTTGCACTTTTCACTCTCCGTAGAAAAGGTGTATCGGCAGATCTCCTGTTCAGTTTACACGCGCCACAACTGCGCGTGGAAAATCGGTCCTCCTCTCCGCAACCCCCTCCGTCGCATTCCGACTGCGAGTCGACAGGTGACTCTGGCGTTTCACATTTAGTAAACGTAACATCTATTCTTTTCTCCCAGTTCTGAGCCTTTCCGTGTTCCTTCCTTATGACGTGTTTGATATACCCGGTGCCTATATCCTCTGTGTGCACAGTGCGTTTCCTGAGAACGCTGCTGTCGATTTTACTACCAACATTAGTCGGCTGAGCAGGCAGGTAAACTGTAGTGATATTGTCCTGCGTAACGGCATTCCGAGCCGCTCGAATTACACCGCCGTATGCTGCGCTTCCTAATCTTTCCTGTGCTGTGTAAACGGAAGCTTTCTTGGCCAGGCATCCGCCTTTAGTCTCTGTGTTGACTATTCCAGCCATCATTGTTGATTCTCGATTGATTTTCCTAATGTCAATCCCCGTTTCTTGTTACGAAGACATAACTGCAACATAAACTACGTGCTGAATAGTCCACAACCGATATTCCTCCCTTGCAGCTGTTCTCTACCTTATAAAACCCAATCTGCTCAATTTGATAATGTAATTGTAAGGCTTCCCAAAACACCTGCAACAAAAGCGTAAATGTTATAAGAATAGTCTCGGGCATGGTTATAAATACAAGTAACTCTGCTAAATCAACACCGCTTCTAATAACAGGTGTTTATAGATAGAATTAGTGAATGGCAAGCACTCAATGCATGATTTTGGTTACGGGAGCATTTGCAACTATACACAAACCTAAGTCGGCGATGAAGAAAAGCATTTATTTAATATCAAGGCCAAAGCAAACAGCTCAAGAGCGATTTTATTGGAGTTGATCAAATGCTGCAATCTTTTCGGGTCAGCCGGAATGTAGGATTTGGTTTGCAAATGTCAATCTTATCGGTCCTTGAGTAATTAATGAATTACTTGTCCGATATTGATCGCCATGGTAGCGAGCTGTCGCAGGTGCTTAGAATAATATCGGTTGAAATGATAAAACTAATGAATGTTTAAGAAGGTTTCGAAAGGTTAAACTATAACTTGTGTTACGTGTACAAATCCATTGCCAAAGCAATAAAATCTCTCTCTCTCTCTCTCCTTTAAAATGAAAAATAATTAGTACCTAAAGGAAAATTTACGGATACGTAGAGCTTTCGAAATAATTTCAGATCGACCAATCAGAAATTAATTGGGAGATAGAAATAACACCGCAGTGCGTCGTATAATTTCTAATAAGCTGCAGGCAGTAACATTTAATCACGTATTTATTGGAAAGTTAAGTGAAACCAATATGTTCCGTGCCCTAGTCTAAGGTACTGCACATTTGCCACACCTCGTCACGTCTGGTTGATTATCGATTGAGAATAAGAAAAATGATTACCGCCACTTTTAGCTAGACTTAGGTCAACCAACCCAATCTACCATTAGATCGGAAGGATATTGTGCGTTATTATTGTGTAATGTCACGGCGACTTAACTGGTAATAAAGCTAATTTTTCCATGGTATAATTGCTACTTTATTGGGTATTGAGTTACACAATGGTCAAAAGAATACCAATACGCCACATGCTTTTGCTTTTATTGCCCATTGATCTGAAAAAGGTGGCAAAAATTTGAGAACTTTAATTGCACCCTTGCGGATATAATGGCAAAGTGCGATATTATTGTATCAGCCTGCAGCATTGTAAGGTGGATGCTGTCACTCCAAATACCAATTAAGCAAATACCGACATTTCGCTGACATTACGCCCTGGGAGTCACGTCTTGTAACGAAATAGGTCAAAATGTAAGCACGAAATACGCAGATACACTGATTGAGTACTAAAATGTTATGAAATACCCATTGATTATCTGATAAAGATTTTTAAAACCATCGATATGAGTCATTCCTTTCTTTAAGCCTTAATAGGGCGTGTAATACAAGAATAAGGCTTATCTTTTATTTACTATGGGATCTTTTATAATTGTCACTTTTGTTGAAGGCGTCGATTATTTGTTTTTTCAGTAGAGACCGACAAAATTACAATTGACAAATCTGAAGAATCAAATCCGATAAGTTACATAGCACCGTGCGTTTCGGATCATAACATTTAATGAGTAAAACAAATGGAGTGGTTCCTGAAAGTTTTTTTTACCACAATCCGAAGGAAGGGTAAAAAAGTCATTTTTTCCGTCTTTTTTCCACTTTAATTTTGCTGGAACTCTAAGATTGCGGCGTTCACTTTACATAATGACTATACCATGTCGACATAATCGTGTACGTTATACTCACTACGAGATTTTGGTATCTATATGACACTCAATCATCATAATCGCAATCTTTTATAATAAAATAAATAAACTTCAAAACTTATCATTTTTCTGTATGTTGACCCCAGCATGTTGTATATATACTCCTTGATTTCACACAGACACCACCAGTCTACTCTGTGGGGACTCTTGCTGAGTTCAATCAGCTTAATTGAATGACACGCCTCCCCTGGCGTTGAGTAAAATACATAAAGGCCTGTCAATTGTAACTTAAACTTGGCGTTTTTATCCGCATACAGGAAAAATCTATCTGTGGCCTATCTGTTCTTGCTTGTGGCCTATCTGCGCAGTTTCATTACTGTTCCGATTTTCAAGAGTGCAGAGGCAAATATCATTGAAGCAGTCTAAAATTACACCATATTATCTCTATCTGTTACGGAAAAAATATATTTGGTTGATCTTTTTGGAGGGGGGGGGGAGGATTGAATGATTGAAACTTAATCATAGACTGGGAAAAACTCTGACGCACAAAAAAATTAAAAAACAACAACAAAGTTTCTACAGGTAAACATCAACAAAACAGATGAATATTTCTCTCTACCATTTTCAAAACATCTACCTGAAGGAGCCTTGGGGGGTTCTTACGCATTAACTTTGTCGTTACTTTTCATTCAGAAAAAAAAAGTTTCGAAAACAAAGAGATCATCACCTTACATTCCGTCCATGCTTTGTGTAGCTTTAAGTCCACTTGAGTAAAAATGATTGCTGAGCCGTGAAACAAGGGTCTTGTGTTTTTGTGTATTACAAAAAGTAACTCCGTTTAAGTAAACTTCATATTTTGTTATTTTATATAATACGGTTATTAAAATTGGCATTCATCGCTAACAAGTGGTTTTATGTTCTCGTTTGTTCCCTTGGTTCTTTTTTTTTTTTCAAAGAGAGGTGCACAGGTAAAATATCAGAGAGCACCATTTAGAGTCTTTTAACCTTACTCTCTATACTACCTTATACTAACTTCTAGGCTCTTTTAACGAATAAAACATTTATCTACTCAAGATTTAACTGTACAAGTTCCAATTTTTAAAGGACATTTTGTCAATTTTTCAGTAATACATCATCATAAAATTTTCGTTATTTACTATTATTAATATTTTGCTAGTGCAACTTTTTTTAAAATATGAGATTCCACACATCATTTTCTATACATCATTTACCTTGTCATCACCAAAGGTTGTTGATAACACGACAAAACACTGAAATGCATACTATCCGACAGTCCGCATCGTCCTCATCCCACATGACTAATTTTATTTGCTTCTGTCTATTTCCTCAAGGTTTCACGCTTTATCACTAGGATTATATCGTCGCTGAACTCAATCTAGTGTAGTTGCATGGGCGGGCCGGTGGACGGCATTCCCAGCACTTCAAAGCTACGGCTGCGTGCATAACAGGACTAACTTAGACCTGATAATGTTTGAAATTCGCTATGGGCCACTTAGTTGTCGGACTTACAGTGGTTTTAAGAAGTATCTGACGTCACAATCGATCTTTCACGTACCAGTGGCTGAGTTATTTTACTCTTAAAATAATCCTTGTCGAGCGTTCCGTTTCACACACACACACACACACACACACACACACACACACACACACACACTTGTTTTAGCGTTATACATGACATAAGTCTCCGAATCACACCAAATGTTTTAAAAATTATAGGAGCGATGGGGGCGTGGTCGTCTGGTGGAACGTCATCTGAGTTAATTCTGTTTTAAATTAGCACGGTTATGAACACGCCATATACAAGTGAACATTAGTATACCCAGACGATAAGTCGGAGTGAAACGATTTTCTGTCGCCTTTCAGCTAAAAATTCAAATAATATACACGTCCAATTTCCGTTAAACAAACACTCTAACAATTAACATTATACGCACTTTTTGTTTTCCATCTAAAAATATCAATTTTTGCTGAAGTGTCTAGCATTGATTTTGCAGCACATAGCTTCGATGAAGGACTGAATGTAAAATGCAAATGTTTGATGTCAATATTGCAACACTGTCATTAAAATTGCACCGCAAATAAGGTAAAAGATGACATCGATCGCTGTCTCGTGTCATTTTCTTTAATCACGGTTTTCAACCCGTCATAAAAGAGTACGGCACCTTGATGTTACCCATACCATATCGTAATTTTGCTGTGCTTTTACTCGGACATTTAAATGGTGTAATTTTTAAATTTGATACTTGTGCCTACAGTTAGAAGACAGGGAAAGCTGGTACCTGTCGCTGGATCTGTTTTCAAATTAAATTAACGAGTTTTATTAAAGGTTCGAAAAGTCCAAGGTGTTTCAAATTAGCGATAACAGGAAGGTTTGTTTAAACACATAGCGTGTAGTTGTTTTACCGTCTTAGATTCCTTCCTAAATACTTCCAATGTCATAAAATCTAATTAAATATTTAAGAAATGTCGCCGCAGGGTTTAAATCGACGCAGATGAGTGGAGATATTGTTTGTATTTCTCAGCTTGTTAAATATTTGAAAGTGTATGCAAACTTGCTTCTGTTTAATTTATATTCAAATATACTGTCCAAGTATCGAGAGGTTCGCGTGTCTTCAAACTGACCAGAAGAAAGGTCTCCAAGAAAAGAAGAAATAAAACTCATCGTTGCAAATAATTTACTTGAAAAAAGTAAAACATGCGTGCACTTTCATAAGTAATATACAGGTATTTGACTCAGTGCTTTTATAGGCATTGGTGTATATTTCATATTTCATTTACTAAACATCATAGCAAATGATAAGCTGCTAACCGCACACAAACAATTTCAACACAACTATTATTATATGTCCCATTAGCTCTCAACCAAAAGTTTGGTCCGAAATCCGTAGAACTTGGAGTCAGCCATCCTAACAACAAAGAGTAATTTGATGGGGGAATGTTGTTCAAAGAATTTTTCAGAATTAAAACACCATGCCTCTGATTCCATTAAAATACAATAATGCAATATAGTCTGAAGACATGCGGTTAGGTAGTTGAGTTTTCATTATCGCGATCAATGTTTCGCACATTATAGACGAAAACTAACATATAGAATCTTGAAACGTGATATAATCTTTTGTTTTTTCCATCATGTTTTCGGGTGTTAAATTCGTACGACTTTGAAATCCTAGAAGGTCGGCAAACGTTGACATCTTTGCCAACAAAGCGGTGCATAAAGTAAAGGCTTTTAAATTAAATCTTATTGAATACCATATGCTATTCTGTTAAATCAACTGTAAGAAAGCAGCACCAAATCTATGGGTTTAATTTAAGATAATCGTTGCGCGTATCAAAGAGCGTGACATCACAGTGTACAGAGTCGGTGCCGCAAGTTTACATAACTTTATCTACCATACTAAAGTCGCGCTTTGCATGTTTGCCTCGAAATATTTATAGCTATTTCCGTAGGGTAAAAATATCACGTTGGCACCTAAAAGAAAATATTGTCCCAGCTTAAAAAGTTCAGAGGTTTACTTACGCTTTCTTTTGCTCTATGTTGCCCGAGCCGTTGTGGAACTGTGGGTTCGCGATCTCAACGTACAGTTAATGATACGTGCCCACATATATCCTTGGGGGTCTTACTTCAACCCGTCAATCAAGACATGCAGCCAAAACTCAATAATCATTAAGTGGAAACACGGAAAATAAAGTTTCTTTTAACTTTAAAATTGAAAATATAATCGACAATAGCAAACCCTAAGTCACATGTCGTGCCTTGCTCCTTCCTTCGTGGTCATTAAATTGTCATTATTATTGTTTGTATTTTGTTTCTATGGTAATACATACCTGAAGAGCTTTTAAAGATGTGACCATTTACAATGCTCCTTAAGAAGGTACGAATGACGCAGGGCCGTCCAACCTATCCATTTCCTTTTCAACCCAATAACATCTGCTACCTACACCTCATAACAGACTGGTGTAATCGGAAACGGTTAGAAGTTATACAGTATAATAAAAATATATAAAATTGCTGAGAGAAATTGGCCTGAAAATGAAAATAGATTTTTTGAAAATTATTATTGATCAAATTTATTTAAATATACCTATGCTATTTCAAGACCGTAAAAATGATATAATAATGGAACCTAAAACCGCCTAACCACTTACCGTTAGAGAGATGGGGTTAAATTCCCCTATACAGTCTCGCGTCGTAAGCTTTCAAAGGTGACTGGTTGGCGTTACTATTCTCTTGCTCTGTTTTCCTAATTCGGCTCCTTTTTTAATGCAGACAAATGAATTGGACTTGGCTTTTATTTGACTCGCTCTGATGATAAACACGGGATTTGGGGGGGGGGGGGGGGATAAAAACAGCCCCCCCCCTTGTTTTGATGTCCAACATCGATAAGAGAACCGGGGTATTTTTCATTCTTTGAAAAATTGTATTCACATTTTTTTCCAATTTGAAAACTGGCAAGCATACTCCTACAAACGCGCACACACATCATCGTAGAAAAATGCATTCCTTTACTAATTTCGTTTGATGTCGAATTCAAAATACAGCTTTGGGGGCTGGTAATTGTGCTATATGTGTATAGCTGTGCTCAAATGTAACAGGTGAGCTGCTGTCACATCCACTCAATTTCTGAAGGTAAAAAAAGATGTCCCTCGTCTGCCTATCCAACAATGAGACGCAGTATTTTATGTGCGTTTTCCAGTCACATTTGTCAAGATCAGAAGGCAAACAAGTACTTTGCTTCATGTTTTCTTGTATGGCGTAAAATAATAAATAAAACCAAGAAAAACAGGAGAAAAAAAAGAAAACTAATAGAAAACATACTTGTAAAACAAATCATCTCAGTGAAGACTATAAAATATTTCCCCTTTTCAATATCAAAAGTTTTTAAAACATTGCAAAAAAAGTATGTGAATACTTATCATAAATCTGATGCTGGTGTACTGACATTTTTTCTGCAACACATTAAGCATTCTATGTTGACAAAAAGGAAACTTTTTATAATACAACCGTATCAGACGCACGCCATACTGTAGGCGTAATGTACTTGATCTTTTTTTCATTCAGTCGGAAAATCCAAACAACATCATTTGCATTATTCCTCAGGTTGCGCCAAAAATATTTTTCTGGTGAGAACTTATAAATAACACAGAAAACAGGCAGAATAATC